GCATGGCCATCCCCCCTGGGAGGTGATTTCTCGCTTTCTGTCTCTGTCTCTCTCTGTCTGTCCGGCGAGCGCATGCACCCTATAGCGGAAATCCTCCCAAAAAAAAAAAAAGATACTGGGGCTGAGAATGAAACCCCGTGGTTGGCCACCTCCCTTGACTGACCACTGAGCTGCAGGGTCACCTGTCTCCTCTTTTTTTTTAATGGCAGCAAAGCCTACTGGCCTAAGGGAAAGATAGGTGCTCAGTTAAAGATCTTGCTGGTGTGGGTTTTGCTTTCTGTGGCTGCTCAAAGAGCTTCTCTAGGAGTATCTGAGGCACTTTCTTATCTCCTCTAACAGCCAGCCTGTCTTCCAGATTCGCCCTGCCTCTGCTTTCAGTTTTATTTTTTTTTCCTGGAGAAAGCAAACTAATTTTCAGTTCCTACTAACCCAAAGAAATAGAAAAGTGAAAAATGAATGTATACCTGTAGCATATATCATGTATGACAAAACTCACTTTAGATCCACTATTGCATCGAATTTCTCTCTCTGATCCTCTGCTGTCAGAAGGTACAGTAGAGTAAGTGGACGCCGTCAGAGCTGGTGTGTACCTGGGTGTGAGGGCTGGAGTTAAAGTGTGTCACAGCGACCAGTTTGGGTGTGTTCCCTAAGCTCATGGCTGAAATTTTGTCTTTGTTTTAAGACAAAGAACATTTTGATATTAATACTAGTGAATTAACTTGTTCTTTTAAAAGACACATAAGAATATTGGTCTTCCTTTCTTGGTCATGAATACTATTTCAGGAAAAGGAAGCTTTCGAACCACCTACAGAAAGTGTCACATGCTAACAGAAATGAGTGAGTACACAGCATTATATTATACACTACAATATGAATACATTATACTAGACATATGGCGGGACTTCAAAAAGTCTGGAAAACGGAATTAATATATGAATTTATTTGGCAAAATTATTTTTAAATCTATGCATGTTTTTCCCATAATACCCATTTTCCATGAACTCTTCAAAGACCCCTTTATACATATGTGAACATTCTGTTGAACCCAAGAGGTTGCCAACATCAGAGCACTTCCTGCCTCAATTTTCTATGCTTCAACTACATAGCACACTGAAAAAAGAATAGATAACTTCATCATTTCTGTAAAAAAGTGACTTCAAATTCCCGAATACACTCGTCTGTCATTTTTCCTATATGAAATATCTCCTCAGTTTTTCTGGTCTCTTTCTCTTGATGTCATGTGGTTCTTTTTTTTTTTTTTTTTTTTTTAAAGAGATTTTTCTCTAGGGTGACGAGGCCTCGCCGGAGAGGCTTTTTCTATAGGGTGCATGCGCTCGCCAGAAAAACAGAGACAGAGAGACAGAAAGAAGTGAGAAATCACCTCCCAGAGGGGATGGTCACGCCGCAATCCCTTCTCCTCCATTCTCCTCTCGGGATCTTGGGCCCCGCGAGAGTTTTAAGCTACCGGGTCCGGGACGCGAACCACGGTCGACTAGGTGGGAGTCCAGCGACATAGCCATTACACTAACTGCTGGTCGCACACGTGGTTCTTAATGAATAGCGTCCAATACTCAAAGACCAAAGGGTATCCCTTTGCTTTTGCCCTGTTGGGATTTATTAAGCTGTCCTCTGAATAAACCCTTTTCTCCTCTCTCCCTAGGGCTGTGTCTGTAAAGATAAAGGCCAGTGCTACTGTGATGGGGCCAAAGGGGAGAAGGTAAAAGCAAGTCAAGTTCTGTAATGTATGATACCTAAAGCTCACGGGCGCTCACGCTCTTCTCACACGGTAGGAGGGAGGCCGACAGCAGGCGGCTCCATTCCCCAAAGCCACTTTGAAAGTAATTGAATATAAACACTGACCTAAAGAGAAAAAAAAGAAAAGAAAAAGCCTTCTAGGAAGTTTCAGGTAACTTGTGTAAATACTGTATTGGCAGTTAAATAACTCTCCAGGTCTCTAAAGAATAAGTAGCGAGTGAGCGAAAAAGGAAGTTCATGAGAAGCCTCCTAAGTATACGCTATTTACAATGTCGATAAACAGGAGAGAAGAACTGAAAACAGCTTGATTCACTCCCTTTGACATAAAATAAACCTTGCACCCCGCGGGTTCTGGCCTGCAGCGTTGGTGCAAGCGCGCCCTCTGGTGGAAAACTCCTGCAGCTGCACGCTCGTCGAGGCAAAAATTCAGCAGCAAGTTGAAAGTAGCTCCATTGCAGAATTCAAGAAAAACAGGAATGACG